ATGTAGAACTATAGTTTATTGTAAACAATACGTTCCGCTCAAGCGTTATTTAGAAACGCAACAGACAGAAGCATGATGATTATTTCAAAAAATGGTTATTAATGTGGTCTGTTTTTTTGAATTTTCAAGCTTATAACGAATCGTGAAATTAATTCCCTTGAGTGGAGAACAAAGAGAAAAGTATGTTTTTTCATCTTCAGTCAAATTGAATCGTTTATCTTCAGGTAAGTGGAAGAAATTGTCACAAGTCTCAAATTTTCCCGTGACATTACCTTGGAAAAAGCTAATATACACAGAAGTTCGCCGGCTTAATATCCAATAAAAGCACTTTTTAAAGAGGTAACCTATTATGGAAAGCTTTTTTTATTAATATTAGGAATAAAAATGCATGGTATCTAGCAGACATTTTGAATGCTCGACAATGTGGTTTGCTGTTTTGAAGTATTTCCATATATGAACTAGATGACCATCTTCATAAGAACTAATATCCGAAAGCTAGTTTTTTGGTAAATGCTGTTTGATTATATCTTAATTTAAAGGTTTTGATGTAAACGTCGAGCAGAAGCACAATTTATCAACTTATCAATGAAGTTACCGAAAACGACCGAAATAACGAAAGACTTTATTACACGATATTCAATACATAGTTATCCACTTATGGTAATATTTTCAAAATATTTTGGCTAAAGACAAGTTCTTTATATACAAAGAAAGTGGTTGCTTAAAGCTTTAAACTTAACAAAATATTTAAGTGTATTGTTCGAATTTATGGGTATTTTGACGTCTCCAGAACCTGAGGATTATCGACAAAATTTTATTTTTCTTAAAAAAACAACTTAGTACTTCTTATAGTTCTTTCAAGTACTAAATATGCCTGATGCTGCTCATAATTATTTCTAAGTTTTCGTAAATCCGTTCTTGCCTGTATGAGAGAAATAATCAAACTTTTACAAACTTAGGCGAGTTGCTTGCAGGACTAGCCGTACTGTTCCTTCCCTGCTTGCGCTTATGTTTCAGCTGATGACGACTTCTTCTGCAGCTTCCTATGACACTCTGCATATTGTGAGGGCATTATAATGTGCACTTCATAGTCAAGTAATTTTGCAAGTCGTAGGCAACACACATTATCGGGTTTCAGCTGAAACTAATTCAAACCTTCCGCAAATCCAAAAATCTTTGGAATCTAGTGGACTTGAATATCAACCAGTGGCCAAAATGCGCCATTTGGCGTTGGTCTACATACATCTCATTATAGTTTTGTTTGTAGTAGGTAGTTTTCGATAAGGGAGAGTTACAATGAGGCCAAAAACCACTGTTGTTTGCCGAAATACCAGCCACCAATTTAAAAATACAATTTACAGCTCCGAGTTACTGAAAACTTGCACTAATTTAAGTTTAATCAAATAAAAACTGCGTGGAATTGGCTTTGGAAGCAATCCACAAGCAGGGTTTATTAAGGGAGGAGATACAAAAGCGGATGTATCCAACTGCTGCCATTTCGAACATCCAATCGAACACCACGACGAGAGTGGCTCTCACGGATGTAAGTGATTTTGTTTTAAACGCCGCATTTTGTATTATTAAAACTGACCATATTCGAAAACACGGTTAGACGGAGATGGAACACGGAGGATCACCAATACTGAGTATCAGAAATTTCCCTAGTTTCGTATTACGGTGGAAAATCAAAAGCTTTAAGAACTAACTTCAAAAGTAACCGCTCCTAAGCAATCACATCGCCCTTTGGCGCAAATTGACAGTATTGGGACAAAGTTGTGGATCCAATATAACAGAGTTTAGCGCAGCAATGTTTTCTTGTAGCATTTGAAACAAGTAAAAGCAAATAAAAATAACATCAAGATTAAGAAAGTCTTCATGAATAATGTCAGCGTTCTTCGTAAATGTGCGTGTTCATAGAGCGCCAACTAAATATTCGCTTGGTGGAAAAATGACCATAGCAAACCGTATGTCATTCCCAGGATGTTATATTATTCATAAATGTTGTAGGTTCAACTCCGCAAGAGTGCAAGTTGGCTAACATGTATGTTAAGCGGATTTATCTAGCATAAGAAACGTCGTCATCATATGAGTCAGAGCATCATTCGTGCGAGATTTTCTGCCCGTTTTAGGCGACCCCATTCGTTATTAGCAAGTGTTCACCGTCAGCCTTTGACCGCAAATTAGTTATTAGTGTCGACCCTAAGTTTTTAGCCAATATTCAGTTTTCTTCGGCCTACCAAGGACGAAAATAAACTGTGATTAATTTTGAATTCGGTATCACAAGTACCTTTGAAAAAAAGAAGTGTTATCTTATGTGGTTACTGATAGCAAAATATATGTACGACAAGCACACAGTTCTCTCGAACAAACTCACTCACTGCTGTTTAAAACATTCACGTATACAGACGATTAGGATGGACTTGAATGTTATCTCTTGGATTTTTCGATCTACACTAATGGGATAAAGCACCATTTTAAAAAGAAGCCCGTTTTGCATACATTTTGCGCTTCATTTAAGGAATTTGCGAATCCTTTTGTATTCTCTCACGTTTGCAGATGCTCACCGCAGTAAAATTTTGGCACAAACTCATAAACGGCTGACGTTTTTCTTTTAACTTACTGGATTAATTATGCATGAAAATTTAGTGTTGGACACACCCCGGCAGACAACAAGTTATTTATATCAAAACTTCGTTGCTAATAATTGTTTTCTGAAACGACTGCGTGTATTTGTGATTCTACACTAGAGGAGCCGCATGAGCAGTGAGAAAATGGAATGAACGATGCATCCTGGAAAAGTCATTTTCATCACAATTATTATGCATTTTGTTGTTTTTTTAATCACTGACTGCCAACATTCACAGAGACTTACAGTTTCTAGTACATTCAAAACAGACTGAGAAGTCTGCGAGCACACCTCGAATATTTGGAGGAGACATGTCAACTGAGCCCTCTATCGTATTTGCAAATGGTTGTTTAATAAAACCTGAATACTAATTACGCTCATACGCTATTCTAAAGTAAGGCTTTTATACTTTTTAGTTTTGTAACAGGGTTGCTTTAAAATTCGGTTTTAAATTCACTGTTCAGACAACAGTTAAGGCACCGGTATATTTTATTTTTCTAAAACTTATGCAAATCCATTTTTATTAGCAAACTGCTTCCTACTCCTCTAGTCCTAGAGGATATTCATTCATCCTCAGTGGAGAGTTTGTTCAAGCAAATACAGCCCAGGACAAGCCAAAGCAAGCAAGTGTATGTTGCATTTTAGTTAATGCATGTTACATGTATTCTCACCCAGTATCGCAAGTGTTATTCCATTATGTTTGATTAGAGGCCAGAGTGAGGACAATTGTTCGGGCCAAGAGGGTTGAGGTTACAGCTGACCGTACGTTTATTAATTAGCTATGGAAACTAAACATTACTTTTACTATAACAGTAATTTTGGCCTCAAGATTAGTCGTTCAGGTAGGTGTTACATGTAGTTACCTACGGGAATTTAATGCAATGTTGTCCGTAATAAATGAGATGGGAGTTAAGTGATTATTTTGTCGTATCCAGTTTTGTTTTATATCAGAGTAATTTCCTCCGTTTTAAATGTGCTTTATATCACACATTTACAGAAAGCTAATGAGTGGTTGGTGCAAGGTCGTAAGAGTCTACTTACATAGGCTAAAGACTAAAACTCGACAAATAACTAATCAATAACTAACTAATAAACAACCACGATGTGACGCAAATTGCAACTCCCAATTAACGCCCCACACCAGATGACTATATAACTGTATCAGCACTTTGAAATGCTAACTTTTCTTCGCATATTCTTCTCAAGTCTGACGACGACCTGGGGATCCAGTGTCGAAGATTTACTGAATAAATTTACTCCTCTTCCCAAAGGACGCCTTTTCTTGAAATAAGGATTTCTCACCACGTGATGAAGATTAAACCAATTTTTTCCAATCCTCAGTGATCAATCACGTTGTGCCAGTGTAAACTGCCGAGAGCCCTACGAGGCAAAAGCAGATTACGTACTATCCTGTTAAAATGTTGTCCGCAAGTAAACAGAAAACCAGACGGCAACCATAATGCCAGCTAACCACTCATATGTAGTATTCCAGTCGACTCAACGCAATATTCCACCGAGTAAAAAAGAGAGGACGCCTCTGTGAGAACGTTGCCTGTTAATGGAAGATCACGTCGAATGTTACCTCAGATGAGCACTGACAATGCGTCAAAAAGCATTTCGAATTTAAGGCCAAGGCAGGCAGTATTAAAATTAAGTATGTTCAATGAGATCCTACATTTCAGTGATGCATATAAAGTCGTTCAAATCAGGATGCAAATGGAAACGGGGCTATGGTAGTACGCTGTGGGAATGCATTGGGTTAAATAATCAGATAATGGCGAAAAGTTCATGAACGGAAATAAAGGATGATATCCACAGCGTTTCGGGTCAGGTTGCTTAAGAGTTTCTTGATGATATAAACAACAGTGAAGGTAAATCCTCTTTTCTCTGCATCTTTCAATACCTTGTAACTATGTGCTTGAAGTACTTAATTGCAAGCATAATGCTACCTTAGCGTTCGATCCAGTGTAGTCTTCCACCGATGAGAAAAGGAGATGCCATCGTGCGAACGCTTATCTTTAATGAAAAATCAAATCGTAGGTCACACCAGAGCAACAATGACGATGAGTCCGAAAAAGCTTTTATTTTAAAATCATCGTGTGCAGTGTTAAAAATGAGAAATTTTCGATTCACTCTCACGTTTTAGCGATGCAGACAGGGCCAACCAAATAGGAATGAAAGGTGGAAACGTGGATATCATAGCATCCTGTGCCAATGCATTGGGTTTAATAAAGAGGTGACGGGGAATACTGAACAGAAGGAATTTAAGTACAACAAATGTTTCGGGTCAAGTGGCTTGACATTTCATGCATGATATGAACAACACCGAAGGTAAATCACGAGTTCTCTTCACCTTAAATACTTCAATGAATTGTTATTCACTCAACTGCTTTGGAACGACCTCCGCTGGCGGAGTGAAGTCAGCTGGAGGATGGTCACCAGTGCCCGTCAATTTGGTCCTGCCGATCTTCTTTTTTATTGACGAAATTACAACGAAGACCAGTGCCCGCATCGCGGGAGTGTGGAAAAAGAGGATAAGCGGCACGAGTGCGGCAAACAAACTAACCAATGTTACACTGAACTGTTGAGATTTACTGCGCAGCTTGTATTTGAGGACACCAGCTGCACTCGGAAATTGCAGCATTGACTCGAAGGCTGTACCTAGCATGAAGGCAGCAGTCAGAGGTACGATGCAGAAGGAAGCCGACCAGACATGCGGATTAGATTTGTTTCCCGATATCTCAAGAACCCTAGCTCCATTCTGTTCACAGTCAGAAGACGAGGAGGCCACTGACGGCGCAGGAGTTGGAGTGGTGGATTTGCATGTTGGAAATGATCGTGGATTCAGGAAGCAGAGTTCGTCCACTTCATCCGCAATAATACCTCGTTCTGACTTCCGAAATCGTATAATCAAAGCAATGCAGATATAGATGAGAATGGTGGGATAAATGATTCCGATCATTGCAGCCCACAGAAAAGTGTGAGCATACAGCACTGTAAAGACGCAAAAGTTCTCCGGCAATAGAGCGCAGGCGCAATCCTTTTTAAGCGGAAAGGCTAGTAGCAAAGAAGGCAGCGCCCCGATTAAACTGCCAATAAAGACCAGCGACATGTAGGCCATGACCCGTTGTTTCTCCGCGATAATGGGATAATTCTTAATTTGCAGCATCTCAGAAGCCCTGTTACAGGCGAAGTAGAAAATACTCTGACAGATTTTAAAGTATGTGTACCAGAAGATGAAACGACTGCTCCATAGAAGGCAGATCAGGCCACCAATGTAGACATTACCGGTGTTGGGGTTAAGGCCAACAGTTTCCTCGATAAGGCTAATAAGCGAGAAAGCTAAGCAGGGAGAAGGAAAGGACCTGAAGAAGGATCAGGCCTTCGGAATTGTTAGAGCGAAGGAGGAAGAGAAAAACAGTAACGGTGAGATTTGCGAAGCAGCCGAAGCTGTTCAGCAAAATTGTACAGATATCTAGAGAACTTTTATAGCTGTAGGCTGAGCAGCAGTGACTGCTCTCAGGCGTCATTTTTAATTTGCGGCGTACATCGACAGTGGACTTATGAGGCGAGTGATGAATTGATATAGACCAGTAGAATTTAAAATGGATCCCAGTAATATGTTTGACCAATCAGGAGACGAGATGGACACCTATATAATTAAACATTGTTAATTTCAAAAGCAAACATAACAATCTATTTGCCTTGAAGAAGGACGTTGTCTTTAATTTATATATCACACAGATTAACATTAATATCATGGAGATAATAACATTGTAATGGTCTATAAATGGGTGTGCTGTCAGTTCCCCGACTGCCTTAGATGAACCCGTTCCCCTTACTAAACGAAAACATTCAATTGATGTCAAGGAATTTATAACTGTATAACGCAAAATGCATATTTGTATAGTGGAGATTTAACCACCCTGCATCCTTGTAATACGAATAAATATGTACATCGACATGCATTGAATAGCTTTTTTAATCCATAGGGACGAATAAAATTACTGATTAAATAGAGGTTTGCCCTCACTTTAGTTAGCACAGTATTCTTTCCATCCCACATGTCAGTGAGTAGTTAACCATTCTTTTTCCACGGTACAGTCATATGTTTGCTGAACTGCACCAGCTTGTTGACAAATAAGTAGCTGTTTAAATTATTATGGAAGTTTAAAATAGCTTGTGAAGTCAGTTCCATTTCCTATCGGAAGCTAGATTAGACCGATTTTTCTGGCAAGTGTTTTATGCGTCAACCAAAATGATAATTTAATTAATCTTTTCCAATGGAAAACATCTTAAAAAGTTCAGCGGCAACAGTAGCTTAAGTAACCCCACTCATTTATCACTACAACCTGCATGTTTTCCTACGAAAATGGTTTTTATCGGGTTTTATGGTCGGGAAACTAGAACACGCAGTGGAATATACTTTAATAAATGCTAAATGCATTTTTATTTT